TGTACACCTTTCAGAAACCCCTGCAGCTACTGCTGTGACCTCAACTCAGGCTTCTTCCCCACCAGGCTCCGGCCCCACCCTGGTCCACTGTCCAGCCTACAGCCTCGGATACCCACGCTGACCCTGCTCCTCCTCTGCAGCAGGCCCTTCCCTGTCTCCCAGCCCCTCCCTCTAGCCCAGCCCTCCTCCCAGTGCTCCATCTTTGCAGACCTGGGAGCCTGCCCCCCCACCCATCACTGTCACTCTCCACCTTCCTGCCCCTGCATCTCTGTCCCAGCCCTCCTCCTGGCACCCATCCTCCACTCTCCTCCTCCTCCGACCCCTCCAGCCCCGCCCAGAGCCTCTACCCTCCCTGTTACAGCCTTGCCCTTGTCCCCCAGCCCTCTGGAGACCTCCAAGCCCCCAGGGCAACCCCCACCCCAGTCCTTGCTCACTGAACACCAGCATCCTCAGGCCCCCCTCACTCCCAGCCTCGTGCACCTGTTTCCTCTACTTAAACTACCGGAACGCCGGCTCCCGCCCCGGCCCACTCCCACCCGGTAAATCACAACTTGTCCTTCAGGTCTCACCTTATTAAGAGCCATAATAATTACTATTTATGCTGTGCCAGGAATCACGCTACACGCTTCCCCTGCATTGCTGGGCTCAACCCTTCTAAACGCCCCACGAGCTGGCTGTTGCCATCCTCACCTGCCAGGGAGCTACGGCTCAGAGAGGTCGAGGACCTGCAGGAGGCTGCACAGCATGGCAGAGAAGCTGGGCCGGGCCCAGGACACTCAGATCACTCTCTCCTCGAAAGCTGTTCCTACAGCCTGGCCCTGGCCGGGGTCCTCTGCACGTGCTCAGGCCGTCCTCGCCAGGCTGGTAATAACCGCAGTAATGCACGCTGAGCACTGCCGTAGCGGTGTGGTTCTGGGGGGCACTACATGAACCCCCCTTCCTTACTGCCAGAGCCCCGGAGGGGTGTGGTCATGCCACAGTCCTCTCTTCATCCATTTCTCCGTCCTGTCCTTACCTTGGGCATGCTTGCACATGTGTTTAATCTAGTTCTGGGATTTGAACCACAGTTGGCTACAGGAGAGCTGGCTCCCAGGACACAGTACTTACTTAATGGCTATGCTACGGGGCAGGCCCCATAAATTAAACCTCTCAAAATCCTGTGGGGTAGGTCTTGTAGCTTATATATGACCGCAGATTTGACCCTCCTCCATTAAGAAATGGTTCTGTGACACCCCCACCCTGCCACCTTGGGTCTAGGTGGGCTGTGACTGCCATAGAGCACAGGGAAGCCAGCCTGGGCCAGTCCTGCATCGAGGCTGGCAGACCCCTTCCCGTACCACGGCATGGTTCCTCAGGACCCAGGAGCCACTCAGAAAACTCAAGCCACCCCCTGGACAGGACCCAGGGCTGCGGACCAGCAGCCACTTTGGGTCAATGTCCCCAGCCTGCCTGCCGTGAGAGTGACCCGTCTCGGAAGCCAACCCACTGGCCTCATCTGGGCCACCCCAACTGATGCCACTCAGAGCAGACAAGACACCCCTGCTGAGCCCTGCCCAAATTTCAGGTTTACATGCAAAAACCAGCAGTGCATTGTTTTAAGCCAGCAAGTTTGAGCTAGTCTGTTATGCTGCAAAAGGCAACCAGACACAGGTATATTACGAGTTCCACCTGGAAGAGGAGGAACCTAGACTCGGGGAATATTCACTTGCCTAAGGTCTCCCCAGAGCCAGAAGCTAGTCAAGCTGGGATTGGAACCCAGGACCTGAGAATTCAGAACCAATGCTCTTAACCACTCCACAATGCAGTTATAACTTTGGAAACTGAAAATTCAGAGACAGGCTTCTGGGCCACCAACTCCTGGGAACCTGGGCATGCCCGGCGTGTCTGGGCTGACCGGGCCGTCCCACACTAGGCCTTGATGACTTACTGCCTGTCTGGCTCCTTAGCCACAACCAGAGCTTCCAGCCTCACACCCGTGTGTCCCAAGTCTCGGCAGCGGCCTTTCAACACTCTGCGTGGATGTCATCTCCCTGGGAAGTTCCCGGCCCCACAGACAGCCTCATGGCCCATGTGGGCTCCGGAGGCCAGGGTGCCTCCACACTTAGCAGGCACCTCCCTGCCCTGCAACTGCCTTTGCCCCATCCGTGCCCTTCGAAACAGAGGCTTCTCAAGGACAGGGACTGGACTTAGTTCAGCTGGGTCCCCAGCTTCGCCAAGGCAGGGCCCAGCGTGTAGGAGACTGAAATCAATGTTGAATGAATCAAGAGCAGGTCTCCAGGGAATGAGTTGACAAGGACATTTTGGAGTCAGTTTTATTGCCAAGTTTCTGGGAAGAGCTTAGATCCGCCCGATCTCCCTCAGCTTGGCCACCAGGTCTTCGGTGGTCTCCACCTTGACGCCGGCTGTGCGCTGCGGCGGGTCCTCCACGCTGATCACGGACAGCTTGGAGGTCAGGTCCACGCCCAGGTCCCCGGCCTTGATCACCTCGATCTTCTTCTTCTTGGCTTTCTGCACAGGGGAAACCATGATGCGCAGGGCTACGGCAACACTGCCCACCCCACGGCGGCCCCTCCTACAGGTGCCACATCCACAGGACCACTGCCACGGAGAATCATCCTGGCCCTACCAACTGGCCGGGACACGCACACGCTCTCCCAGGGCCACGCCTGGGGTGGACAGCTCCACACAGCTTGTGGCTGGGAGGCCAGGAGACCCACCCTTACTGTAGCCCTCCTCCGGCTGACTGCTGTGGGAAGCCTCTCACTGGCTGCAATGGGCTGACCAAGCCAAGCCGTGCCTTTGCAGTAACAGCTCAATGGACCTTTGGCCAGGATGACCCACGGACCCCTCCTCCTACTGGCCGGGATGACCCACGGACCTGTCCTCCTACTGGCCGGGATGACCCACGGACCCCTCCTCCCTCGGCTGAGTTGGCCCACTGACCCTTTACTGGCCGAGGTCACTCAATGACCCCTCTGAGATGATGAACTAAATTCTCCATACTGGCCAAGGTGGCCCAATGGACCCATCTCCCTGGCCGAGATGAAGGCCCTCTCCCACCAGCCCAGAGACCCCAGAGAACACCTCTCTAGCCCAGATGGCCAAGGTGACACCTTCCTGCTGGCAAAGATGGCCAAGGGAACCCGCCCTGGGCCAAGACGACCAAACGACTCCTCTACTCCTCTACCTGGCCAAAATCGCCCAAAGGACGTCTCCCACTGGAATGACACGGGGAGCCCAAATGGAGACTTCCAGCTGGCTGGGATGACCAGCAAACTGCTAGCCAGACAGCCCCCGGATTCTCACTGCGGGCAGAGATAACCACCCACCCCCGGGGCTCAGAGCGGGCCCTGTCAGCCAGAATGATAAAATGTCCCTTGGGCTCCCTGCTCCTGCCCGACCCCCGGGAGATGCTGGGCCTGTGGCATGCTGGCCGCCCCGGGCCGGCGAGCGCTCACCATGATGTTGGGCAGCGTGGCGTAGCGCGGCTCATTGAGCCTCAGGTCGGCGGTCACCACCGCAGGCAGCTTCAGGCGCACGGTCTCCAGGCCCCCGTCAACCTCCCGTTCCACTTTCGCCTTGTCCCCCTCCAGCGTCACCTGGGAGGCGAACGTGCCCTGGGGAGGCCCAGAAAGGGGGGGGTGTGAGGTTGGCCCAGGCGGGCCACGAGCAGTCCTCTGCAGGCCACCTGTGACAGGCGAGTCCGCGAGATTCGAAATGGGCGGGGAGCCAAGAAGGGGACCCTGAAAAGCTAGAGCAGGATGTCCTTCCTCCCTGGAGCCACGGTCTGTGTCCTCACATTGGAACCCGCCAGCACAGTTGCCCCGCCTGAGTGAGCACGTGTCAGCGCCAGGCCCTGTTAGAAGCAACTGGCATGGAGTCATGGAGCCCCTGCGGGAACTCCAGGGGCTCCGTGCTGTCCGCCCCCTCAGCACAGGGTGCAGGCCGGCACCGTGGCTCCCGGCAGTGCCTGTGAGGACCCTTCACGGGGCTGACAGCAGAGAGCCGTGTGCTCGCCATGGACCTCACACCACCCTCTAGACCCCTGCCTGTGGCCGAGGCCCCTCTGCCCCTCAGTCCTGAACCAGCGTCTCCTCCCCTGGTGACTGCCGTGGCCACACTCTAGCTGGCTGTTCTCTCGCTCACTCAGCACCGGGACCCTCCAGGCCTCGGTCTGAACCATCACATCACTCACAGCCTTGCTGGGGGCGTGCCCAGCTCTGGGCTGCACCATGGACCTGGCCCCAGGTGCCAGCTTTGGTGGGCTGACATTCTAGCAGGGGGGACAGTCAGCAATCAAGCAGGAGGCAGCCAAGGTCGCTCCAGACACCAAGGTGTTTGACAAAACCAAGACACGACAGACCACGAGCCTTAGATGGAGCAGCCTTAGAGAGGCTGGCCAGATGGCAGTCGATGCTGTGGGGAGAGTAAAACGTGTCAGCGCAGCTGGCAGCCACCGGCCACGAGAGGCTAGCGAGCACCCGAAGGTGGCTAGGGAGGGCGGGCGAGGAGTGGAATGTTAGAGTCTACTTGAACTTGAAAAGCGACATTCCAGACACATCATGAGTTTGGTGACGGCCTCATGGGTGGATACGTGTCAAAATGTACTGACTGGGCCAGCTATGGTGTGGTGGTGAAGACAGCTGGATAGCTGGACCCTACACAGCCGACCACACGGTCTGAGTCCCCGCCCCAGAAGCTGGAAAAACATGCCGGGAGCGTGTGCGTGTGTGCCCAAAATCCTGAGAGGAAGGAGGGAGAGAAAAAGAAAATTGCAGTGTGACCATTCCCCACGGGTGACGCGTTCTCATTCCCCACCCGCTGTCTCTCCAGCAAGTACACGTGCCCTCTAACAAAAAAATTTTAATTGTATAAAACGGTACTCCCTGGGCATGAGCAGTTGATTGTAGGTAGGTATCTCAATAAAGCCACCTTTAAAAACTCTTCCATAGCTGACGGGCTTATCAGAAAACTTTTAAGTCTGTTCTGAACAACTTGGAGATGTCTATTTTTTTTATGTGTGAACTCGAAGAATCTAAATCAAGTGCTTCTGATGAGAACGGAGGTGTGCGGTCAACAGTGCATGCTAGCTTTTGAAGATGGCGTACAAAAAGAAAAGAGAACATAAAATGCCTCAGGATTTCTCCTCTTGATTCGTGCTGGAGTAATATTTTAGGCAGGCTGAGTTAAAGCATCTTATGAAAGGTAATTTTGCCTATTTTTATTATTTTATTTTGCCAGAGGACCCATGCACCTACCAGAGAGAGACACAGAGAAAAAGGAGAGTGAGAAAGCACCCTCCACGGGGCATGGCCACACCACAATCCCTTCTCTTCCATCTCTCCCTCCTTTTGGGAT